CGGCTCGCTTCTCCCTTCCCGGCTGTGTGTGTCTGGGCGGGCCGAAGCTGGGTCTGGCCGCCTCCCGCCTGGGCGGCGCCTCGTGTGCATGGTGCCCCCTCCAGGGGCCGCGCGCTCCCCGGAAGGGCGTGCACCCGGCCTCCCTCGTCGACCGAAGAAGAGACCGAGGGTCCAAGGGGGAAGGCACCTGCCCGGATCGCAAAGTCCGGCGTCCCTCAGCAGCAAAGTGGCCTTGAGCCAGCGTTGTGGCGGGCCTCAGTTTACTCTCTGCACCCGGGTCCCCTGCCATTGTGCTCAGGTGCGGCCTCTGGAGCCCCCCGAGCCACTTGTGCCGCCGGCGGGGAGCCCACACGCCCTCCGTCCAGTTGGCTGCCTGCGGGCTTCCTTATCTTTGAGTGGGGCCGCTCCGCTGCGGGTACTGTCGCATGACACTGGGTCGGGCAGGGCAGCGCAGCCCCACTGGGGGCCTCCCTCCGGCCGCTCCTGGGCCAGGCGCCGGGGTGGGGGACTCCTGCTTGGTGGGAGATGCATGATGAGCAAGCCCCCCCTACACCCCCGGGACCCCCTGGCTCCCGGGCAGGCCCCCACCCACTTCTCCCTTCTGTCGCCTTCCTTTACCGTGGCAAGCTGGCTTGCCGAGGGCCCTGTCTTGTCCTCTATCCCTTTCCAAATCTCCTTCAAGGGCCCTGTCGTTCCTGGGAAGGAGGTGGGCAGCTGCCCGTCAGGTAGAACGCGGGGCTTGGCCCAGGTGTACGGTGGGGACCAAGCCTGTGCCGCCAGGTGCCCCTGGGAGTGGCGTTTGAGATTGAAGGACTGAAGGACACCGGGGTGTCAGAGCCCAGATCCAGGCTCCATCGGCTCTACCACTTCCTGGGGGCGACCCCAGGCGAATAAATTACCTCCCTGAGCTTCAGTGTCTCCATCTGTAAATGGGGGTGCCAACTTGAATCGTAGAGAGTTGGGCAAGGCAAGGTACACTGGGGCCCTCAGTCCTTGCCCAGGAGGAGGACCATGACAGAGTAGGGGCAGCTGACAGAGGAGATGGGGTCAGAGGGGGAGATAAGGGCACCTGGCTCCTCGCCCATGCTGGCCTCTGCATTAGTGGAGCCAGGCCCCGCTTGGCAGCTGGCCCCATGTCAAGCTTTGCGGGGGCTGGAGGGACACGGAGTGAGTGAGTGGTTTCCTTCTCGGGGTTGGTGCACTCCCTCACTGGGTGCCGGCAGCCAACCCCAGCCTGCAGGCCAGCGTGTGTGAAGCACACAGCTTTTGTTATATTTGAGTTTGGAGAAATCAAAGCGACCTTTAACAGCGGGCTGATTCCACACACACCCGGACTTCCCTCTCAGGGATTCGGTGGCTCTGGCCTTTCGGACCAGCAGGCAGACAGCTGCTGTTAGCAAGGTGGGAGGCAGTGTGCACCCCCACCAGCCAGGCCTGCGTCACCCCAGCCCGGCCATCGCCCCATGTCCTGTCGTCCCTACAGGCGCGTACGGTCACTCCTGCCCCAGCTTGGCCAGGGAGGCTGCCCTCGCTCACTTTTGGTCTTGAGTTTTTCTTTGGTCCCCACCCTGACCTCTTGCCGGGTGTCAGGTGCAGGATTCTGTCTGGACACCCCTGAGGGCATGGCAGAGCACATGCCCTGACTGCAGGCCTGGCCCTCGGTTGACTGCCTGGTTGTTGCCTCCGCCTGGCACCCCCTTTCTCTTCTGCTGACCTTTGGTTTACTTTCTTAGAGTTCTGGTCTTAGCGAACTTCCCAGAACACCTGTGTCTCCTCAGCCCACTCCTGTTCATCCCTCAAAACCCAGATTTGGGTCTCAGATGCCACCCTCCTTGACCATCCCAGGGACAGCTTCTCTCCATGCCATCTCGCCTCCATGGGACCCTGATCCAGCACCATTAACCTTTGCCCACAGGTGTCAGTTCCTTTGTCTTTGCCCTGGAAGGGGCGGTTCTCAAACTTCCCATATAGGCAGTTACTCCTAGGGGCTTCTTAAAACAGACTGCCAGGCCTACCCCCACGATCCCAGTTTGGTGGGTGTGAATAGGGTCCAGGAATCTGTTCCTTAAGTTCCTCCCGTGGAGTTCAGAGGTGCTGTGCATCCTCTCACGGTGGCACTGCTGAGGGAGCAGACAGCTCCCAGCGTTGCTGGTGGAATCCTGGCCCAGCTGCCCTGTGGCTGAACTGATGGCAGAGCAGTCGGTGGCAGACTTGGGGCAAAGGGCTCAGGAGCGTGCCCTTGAGGAGGGGGTTCTGGGCCAGGGCAGGTGCACATGCTCTGTCACTGCCCCCACCCCCCCCAGGCCCTTCCCCGAGGACACCCTGGTGCCACTAACACTCAGAAAACAAGCAGAGAAGCTGTCTTTGTTCTGCTCCCTGCGAGGGAGTGGTTTCCTGGTCTCCTGGTCCCTGGTTGACCCCCAGCACCATCAGCTGCTCCTGTCCTTTGCTTATTTATTCTCCCAGCGTCTGGGATCCTGTCTGTGAGGGCACCGCGGCCCACTGGCCTCCCTCCACTGTTGTTGGCAGATGCCTGTTTGGCGGGAAGCCACGAGGGGGCGCCCGAGACCGTTGCTCAGAGCTTGGTGCCCATTGAGGAAGGGTCAGGAAGAGGTGGCCAGGCATAAAGGGCTGCCGGGGGTCCGGGATGGTCTGTTGTTGCATCACAGAGATGGGGAGGGGGCACTGCCAAAGGAAGGCTGCCCATGTGCAGCAGGGTGGGGGCTGGCTGGAGCCTGAGCAGTCCCCACCTCCCTGTCCCTGCTCCCTCGAAGGGAGCAGATGCTGGGCTGAAGGTGGAGGGCAGTGTTTCCAAGCTCAGGTCCGGCTGCCCGCCCCCTTGAGAAGGAAAGAAAAAAAGACTCAGAAGTCAAATGGTTGGTGTTAGAAAAGCAGATGTATTCAGCTGAAGGAGATGGCAGGCTGTCCCATCTCAAAGACTTAGATTTACTGAGGGGTCCTTTAAGGAGGGCTTGATGGAATGGAATGTGGGAGGTGAAAAGCAGGAGAGCAGGAGACGTGAGCTACGAGGGGTCCGTTTCTATGGGTCAGGTACAAGGTCTCACGAAGGCCTCGTCTGGTTTCTGTTCTCATCTTTGCTGTTATCTCAGGACCCTGCAAGATTTTGATTTGAGCAGGTGTACTTGGCTGGTGCCCAAGGTCAGCTTCAGTCATTGGCCTTGATCATTTCTCAAAACTCTACAAGTCTCAAAGAAAGAACTGTTAGCTTTGCAAAGTACTAATTAGCTTCTTGGCCTTGTTTTCCTACTTAGCAAGCGAGATAAGAAAGTCAGGGGATGGGAAGAGGGAGTGGAGAGGAAAAAACTGTCCTTTTTAAAATCCTCCCCCCGTCTGCAGACCAGGCAGCTTTAGGTCCCAACATGGCTTCAGTCCTGCTCACTCCGACAGCAGGGCCAGCAGGGCATTTCCAGGACGGTGCAGATGCAGGGGATGAAACACCAGCCAGAGAGCCGTCTCAGCCTTCCCAGGCCACGCAGCTGTGCGGGGCTGTCTGTTGGTTTGGTGGCGCAACCTCCGCCTCCCCATAAGCCGTGGTGTCCCTTTGCTGGCCTGGCTAGGTCTCCTCCCAGCTGCTGTTGCCTGGTGAGGGGCTGCGATCCTCGGCATCCCTGGGGCTCCCAGACCCCTCAGCTGCTGTTAGGGGCTCCCTTAGTTTCCTTCTCCCTCGGGATGGCTTCTTGGAGGCTGTGGGAAGTGGACCGAGGTCAGGTCAGAGGCACAGCAGAGGGTCAGGCAGTCTGGTGGGTCCTCCCTCGAAATGACAGTGTGGCCAAGGGCCTTGTGGGCAATCTTGGCTCAGGGAGCTGGCACCTGAGAGCCCGCCCTTGTCCCTAATGGCAGTGGGTGACCCGATTGGAGGGCAAACCTTGAGAATGTGGTGGAAGGGTGGCCCCCTCCCTAGCTGTGTGACCCTGAAGACAGGGCCTGACCCCAGCACCTCCCTCTCTGCCTTGCAGAGGGCCTGGAAAATGCCTGATAACTGGGAGCTGACGGGAAGTGCTCTCAGAATCCCTGAGACACTCACCGTGTGCCTCTGAGGACCTGCCCCTGGGGGCTGGGCTGGGACCACAGGCGAGGGCCAAGATGCTGGGCCCTGGGCCGTCTCTGATGCACAGTGAGCTCTGGTTCTGGGTCAGACTGGTGAGGTTTGAATCCTGACCTCAGGGACCAGCCCCATGACCTTGGGCAAGTCACCTCGCCTCTCTGAGCCTCAGTTTCCCCATTTGCAAACGGTGATGATCCTGCCAGCTGGGCAGGGTGGTGAGGCCCACAGGCAGTAATGACTGTACACTGCTTCTCACTCTCCCTGGGCATGAGTCACAGGGTGCTGGGTCCTGGCACTGAGCTGTGTGGTGCCCTGACCTGCACAGAGTGGGTGTCCAGCATGTGCTGGCCGAGGGCCCTGTTCTCACTGACTGCCACAGCGGTGTAGTGGGGGCAGTGTATTGCTGCCTGCAGGGTGCCAGCGCCTGCTGCGAGCCCCTGCCAGCCGTCCCCAGCCCTGGCCCGGGTGGGAGGACAAGGGATGCTGGCTAGGCTCAGTGAGGAGGCAGGGGGTGACACCCTTGCATCCCGGTGGACTGCACCCCACCCAGAGTACTTCCTGCACATGCACAGCAGGAAGTCCCTCGAAATGAGGCTGGGTGCTGGCCTCCACTGCGGCTCGGAGCAGACCCAGGTCATGCTGCCTTCCCGGCGCAATGGTGCATTGTGGTGGCCATGGCCTAGCCTTTCCCACTGCGGGTGCTGCTGGGACAAACACCAGGGCTGCACGACTGTTAGCTTAGGTGTCAGAGACTCTCTCAGGTGCCTGGACGCCCAGCCGGAGCTGCCCTTGTGCCCAGAGCAGGAAGTGGGAGGTTGTCCGGATGCCTTCGGACCAGCCAAGGCTCCTGCTGGCCTTATCGGAAGAGCCGAGCCCAAAGATACCGCCCTTGGCAAACATTTGAGCAGCCCCCAACTCCCCCAGTGGGAATGTGCCCTCGGCCTCTCCTGCTCTCTCAGGGTGTACAAGAGACTGCCAGGGACCCCCTCCCTTCGCAGGGGACCAGGGTGCCCCTTCCTCCCCAGGACGATGGTGATGGTGAAGACCATCCTCAGCTCTCTGCTCAGGACCTTCTACCCCTTCCGCCACTGACATCACATGCGAGCTCTGGTATCAGCCCCTCTTTCAGGTGGGGACACTGAGGCTCAGTGTTGAAGGGGCCTGGTCCAGGCGACACAGTCGGAATTCACCCAGGCCGACCCTGGTCCCTCTTGAGGGGCTTGTTCTGGAGAGGTCTGAGGCTTCGCCTCTGGCTTCCCTGGGCCAGGGTGGCATGGGGAAGTTGGTGCTGCACTGCCCTCGCCCTGCTCCCCCACCTTCCCCTTGCGGGCCATACCTTTGCCCCCCGGGTCTGAGGCCTGCTTCCTCTTCTGCTGCATGGTCTGCCTGGGCTCCTTGGGGCAGAAACACCTGGGCCCCTCACCTGGCATGCTTGGCTTGGCACCCGCCTCGGAGCTGGGACCCTCCTGGGCAGAAAGGGGTGTGGTCAGGCCTAGGAAGGCCCCCCATCCCCAGCCTGAGCAGCCCTACTGCGATGGCCCCACCCGAGTGTGGGGCTGGGACACCCACCTCACTGTCCGAGGTGTCTGGCTCATCTAGATCATCCGACTCTGGCCTCTGTGTTTCGGCCTGTCTGGGCTCTGAAGGACGCAGGGTATAGGGTCAGGCCAGGCTGGTGGCCCCGGAATTCTCCCGAGCCTGCCAGACTAGGGTGGGTGGAAACAACTCTGCAGATGAAGAAACTGAGACACAGAGGGGCTGAGTACCTGCCCTAGAGCACCTGCTGATAAGAGGCAGGTGGAGTTTGAAGCCAGGTCCAGTGTCTCCAGTGTCCTCTGCACGAGGCCCCTGCCAGCCAGGGGGCCCTCCCTGGTTTGGTCACTGCGTGATGGCGAACTCATGCCTGCCTGCCTGCCCTCTGCACTAGCATGCTCCTCCCTCCACCAGTGTGGTCAGAGAAGCACCAGTCCTGGCCCTTGACTCCTTTCTGTGTCTGAAGCGGGGAGGAACCCAGCCCTAGACCCAGGGTTTAGTCAGTCAGGCCGATGGGCTGAGCTGGGCCCCAAGACTGGGCCCCCAGCTGACACTGACCATCACACCCCCTTCCCCACTATGCATGGCCCCACTTCCTGGCTGGATTTTCATGACGCTGGGTGCTCACTGTACCTGGGGGGCCACTGGCGTCAGGCCTCTGTGGGTGGGGGGATGGCTGTAGCCTCCCTCTGACCTCACCTCCTGTCCTGCTTAGAGAGGACAGCCTGGGGTGGCGCCCTGGGAGGGGATGTGAGGGATCCTGGGGGAGGCAAGCGAGTGGCTTGAGTTTATTTCGGGGGTTATCCTGCTCCCAGCTCAGCCCCAGACACAGCCTGCGGGACCCCACCTGGGGCTGCAGCGGGAGGGTCAGCCATCCCCCCTGCTGTGAGCTAGGCAGCCAGGCTTTCTCCCTGGCAACCAACTTAGTGGGGCAGAGGGAGGAGAACAGCCAGGCCCGGCTGGGTGCTGGCCTGAGTGGGGGACGTGGAGGAGGAGGACAGGGATTGAGCCCATGACCAGGGCGAGGCTCCTTACCGTGGGAGTGGGGGGCTCTTCGGGCTCCAGTGCTCTGGTCTCCTTGATGCCATTGCTGAGTGCCCAGGGGCTGTGAGTCAGGGGTCCCACCTGGGGGGATGGCTCGGGGCTGGGAGTGTGGGCAGTCGTGGGGCTGAGTGACCCAGGCTGGTTGGCAGGCTTGGGGGCGTCCCGGCCCCGGCCCCGCTCTGAGAGGTCTAAGGGCTTGTCTGGGGCATAGTTCTGTGTGGCCACAGCTTCCCTCCTCGTGGGGCTGCCGGGGCCTGCGGGCTTTGGGTGCCGCCCTCCAGGCAGGGTTGCTGTGGTCAGAGCTGCCCCAGTCACATTGTTCTCGGGGTCCTCAGAGTCCGAGCCGACTGATGGGGAGAGTGGCATCTCCCCCGGTGTGAGTGGGCCTCTCAGCCTGGCATTGCCTGCCAGTGCCCGTGCCCGCAGCTGCTGCTGCACAAGAAGCAGCCGCAGTGCGCCCTCCAGCTGCGGGTCCTGCATGCTCCCCAGGGGACTAGGCAGGCCCAGCAGGCCTGCAGGCTCCTCCCAGGCCTCTGCCTCCCCAGCCTTCAGGCCCTGGGGCTGGGGGCTGTGGGTGGCTGCAGCAGGGGCCAGGGGGCTGCTGCGGGGGCTCTGAAGGTGCAGATGCAGGTGGCGGTTCAGGAGGCAGAGGCGGTCAACCTGGAGGGAGTGCTTTAGGGACTCGCAGGTAGTGGCGGAGGGACGGGAGGCCCACAGGAAGCTGTTGGGGAGGAGAAGCCCAAGGGTCAGAAGTGACCAGCTGAGTGAGCTGTCCTCCTGGCAAAAGTGGCCGGGGGCCTGGGCACCGTGGGGGACCGAGAAACTGAGGCCTCCGCCTCTTCCTGGCAGGATGTTCTCCTCGCAGGAGCGTCAGCTATCTGCTTCTTCACCTGGAGTGCCCCGTCCCCCTGTCCACCCCCCACAGCCCGCTCACTCTCAGACCATGAGATGCAGGCTTCATGTGGGCCCTTCTGAGACGGCTTCCAAGTTTGGACCCATCTCCTGCCGCCATGCCCCCCAGGCCTGGCTACTCAGGAGGTGTCCATGTGGAAACTTTGCTCCAGGCAGAGTGCCCAGAAAAAGCCAACCCAGGGAAGGGCAGTGGCTCCCCGGGGGATAATCAGAAGGATCTCCTGGTTCGCTGGGCCCCTACCACAATGGCGGGACCAGATCTGAGATGGAGGGCTCACCAGAGGCTACTCCAGCTGTCAGTGGTGGCGGGGGCCCTCACCTGTCCAGGGGGAGGCTGTGTTCGTACATTGGGCTGGGTGGGCTGCTTCTGGTGCGTGGTGGTGGGGGCGTCCCATTGGTAGAGCTGCGGTCAGCCGGGCAGGCCCGGGACCCAGGCCGCACCACGGCAATGGTCCCGTGCAGCTGGTTGGAGATGCGCTGGGGGCTCTGCACAGGGTAGCAGGGGTGGGTCAGGGCCCTCACCTGTCCAGGGGGAGGCTGTGTTCGTACATTGGGCTGGGTGGGCTGCTTCTGGTGGGTGGTGGTGGGGGCGTCCCATTGGTAGAGCTGCGGTCAGCTGGGCAGGCCCGGGACCCAGGCCGCACCACGGCGATGGTCCCGTGCAGCTGGTTGGAGATGCGCTGGGGGCTCTGCACAGGGTAGCAGGGGTGGGTCAGCCGGGGTGAGGGTGGTGCTCCCCTCTACCGCCTGGCCTGAGGCTGCTCCTGTCCTGGCTGTGCTTGCTTTGTCACCCATCACCCACCCACTCTGAGCCTCGCCTCCACCCACGTCACATGCAGCTCAGTGGTCCCCGCCCAGCATTGGAGGATGGGCACAGTCAGTGTGAGGCTCGGGCACAGTGCTGCCAGCCTCCTGCCTGGGTTGTCCCAGCCCAGTGTGGTGGGCTCAGGGCCCCTCCCTCTCACCATGTCTGGGGTCCGTGGCTCAGGCAGGTTGGCACCTGGGGAGATCTTGGCCACTGGAGAGGTCTGGTAGCCCACTGGCTTTTCTGTAGGAGGAGCAGTGGACGGGAGAGCTTAGGAGATGCTCCAGGGGGCAGGGGGCTCAGCCGCCTGGCCAGAGGGCTCCATGGTCCTGTAGGTGCCCAGCCTCCCAACCTCTCCGTCCCCCACAGCACCTTCTCCTCGTGGACCTGTGCCTGGGTGGCCTTCCTCAGCCTCCTCGTGGACCCCTTGTGGTTTTTCAGTGATGGCCTTGCAGCTGCTGAGAGAGGGGCGCAGCAGGGGTGAGGTGGGGTCCGAGGTGCCCTCCCCGGCCAGGAGCTTGGGCCTGTCTCTGGAGTGGAGACAAAGATGGGGAGGGTGAGGGAGGGCAGTGCCCCAGGGAGGATCAAGATGCCAGGGCACTCCCCGGGGCCACGCCACCTCTGCAGGGATACCCGGGTGACCCGGGAGGATGCAGCTGTCCTGACATCGCCTGTGATTCCACCATGGATATGTGCTGGGCCAGCCACCCTTCCCCACTCACTCCAGGCCCTGAAGCCTCTTCACCTCCTCTCTCAAGGCCTTGTTCTCTGCTTTTAGCCCGCTCATCTTGTTGGCTGCAAAAGGCACTGGTTAGTGAAGCAGCCGGGGGAGGGATGGGGGGTGTCCCAGCCCCAGGGAAGCCCCTCCTTGTCTTGCTGCCTGCGGTGTCCCCAGCGCTTGGCCCAGGTGCCCCATAAGTGCTTTCCGTGTGAGTGGATGCTTGGCTGTCTCTCAGTAGATAGTGCTAGACTGTGGTAGATAGTGAAGCTTGTCCCTGGGGCTTCCCCCAAGGAAGGGGGGGCTTCTGCTTCATCATCAGGAGGACCAGTAGGACCTCAGGACTCTGTGGGACCCCTCCTCATCACAGAAGGAAGAGGCTGCAGCCCCGAGAGAGCAGGGACGTCCCCAGCCCAGACGACGAGGAGTGAGGACGTGTCAGGCCCAGCTGGGGTCTTGGCACCACTTGTCCTCAAAGGGGGGTGAGAGGTGCTCCCCAGTGGGGCAGGGCTGACTGCCGCCCCCCTCCTCCCCGACCCTGTGTTGAGCTGGACGGGCCCGACACCTGCCCCGCAGGTGTGCTCACTGAGCGTGAAGATGTGCTGCAGACTCTGCAGGTGGGAGCTCTCAAACTCCTGCTGCTTCTTCCTGGCCAGCTCCTGGGTGACCATGCAACGGTCGCACAGGCCAGCCCGCAGCCTGCGGGGGCGGGGGAGGTGAGAGGCCACTCTGAAGGGGGAAACTGAGGCCAGCGGAGGGGCTGGGCCCCTCACTGCCCCAGTGCCAAGGTGTGCCCCTGCCTTTCTCAAACTGTTCTGCGGAACCCAGATCTGTCCCCACCCTGTGGGCTATGTGTTCCATACTCAATTGAGTTTGGGAAGGAATCTTGAAAATACAATTTACTTAAGGCTCTGAGAAGTCCTGCAGTGGAGATACCTGCCTGGTTTCCTTTACCTGGAGTTTCCCAAACTCATTCTCTGAGCGACCCTCCCTGGAGCCCACCAATCCCGAACGTGCTGCTGGGTGCCCTGCTGGACTCACCTGTTCTCCAGCACCCGCAGGTTCTCCTTCAGCGCTTTCTGCTGCTCCCTGAGCTGGTGGTTCTTGGCGAAGAGCTCCTCGATCCTCTGAGCATCCCTGTGGTGGGAGACAGCCGAGGCAGGGTCCTGCTCTGCCTGGGAAGCCACATGCTGTCACTGTGGTCCAGCCTGAGGCCCAGCTATGTCGGCAGCCTCAGCTTAGGGCCTGGCCCTGCTGGGTGTGCCTCACTGTGGGGACCTGCCCCTGAAGTGGGGCGCTACGAGGGGAGTGCCTAACCAAGCGCTCCTAATCTTGGTCATTTGTGACACTTGGTGACTTCTGTCTTCCTGTGTGCCACTTCAGCACTGTAGCACATGCAGACCCACAGCCCAGCCTGTGAGGTGGGGGCATAGGGAGCTGCCTGCAGGCCATCACGCCATCACACGGGCCCGTGTCCCAGGCCTCATGTGGATGGTATGATCAATATTCTGATCCTGACCCTAGTGGTGGCTGGGATGCCCCGAGTGGAGGGGCTTGCTCAGCCCCTTGAGGCTGACGCACCCAGGGTCTAGTCCTGGCTCACCACCTACTTGCCATGTGACCTTGGATGAGGAACTCACTCATCCCCCCACTCCAAGCCTCAGTTTCCCCTTCTGCATCAGGGGATGGTAGCAGTGCTGGTGCCCTGGGGCTTCAGGGGTGGAGTGAGCAGCGTGGCCCCCGTGGAGAGTGGCTGTCTCCGCTCGTGTTTCTCACTGGGCGAGCCTGGCCTGACTCACCGGCATCTCTCTGAGTTCAGTTCCAGAAGCTTGTTCTGCAGGCCTGGCGGAGCAGAGAGGGGCAAAGGTCAGGCCCAGTCACTCCCTCCCCTTGCAGCCCTCCTGCAGAGGGGCCTGGGCAGAGACATGGGGTGACATCTCCTGTCCCTGGCTGCCATGCAGGGTCCTCTCCAGACCCTTGCCCACCTCCTAAGTGGGCTCCCTGTCTGCCCTGCTGCCCGGGTGGCTGGGGCTTAGCTTCCGCCCAGTCTCCATGGCTGTCTGAGGCCCCATGTCTGGGCCAAGCATCTCCCCTTCTCCTGCGGTCTCTGGCTCTGGTATCACTCTGGAGGTTGGTAGGGATCCTAAAGCTGGGAAGGGCAGAGGAACCGAGAGGGGCTTTTTTGGAGGGTGCAGCTGTTTGAAATGAGATGGGCTTTGGGGGCAGACCTCATCAGACCACCCTCTCCCCATCTTTGTGACCCAGCTTGGGCCGGGCTAGCTAGGGGTTGGGGGTGGATGTGGGGGTCTCTACCAGCAGCTACGCCTCTCTTGGTTGTTCAGGAAGTAGCCAGGCCCTTTGGATCTCCAGGTGGGATTCCTGGAAAGTCCTCAGGAGGGGCCGGCCCTGGCCCTGGAGTGGGGTGAATAGAGGGGCTGCGGCCCTTTCTCTGGTGGGGGGATTGGACAGGGGTGTGGATCTGAGGCATGTTCTAAAGGGAAGAGAAAAATTTCAGCTCAACGCCCCACGATGTTCCTGATGGGCCTCAGGAGCCCTGAGCTCCTATCCCTAGACGTGGAGCTCACTTCTCACTCTGGGAGGCCCTGGGCACCCACGCTGGGTGAGGGGTCCATGAGGCCAGGGATTTTCAGCTCTCGTGGCCAGGCCTGACATTTACACCCCACTGTGGGCTGACCCTTTGGGAGAACATGGCATGGACGCCCTTGGAGCTGGGTGTGGCAGGTGGCTGTGAGGTGCTGGTGGTGCCCCTTGTATGTGCCCTCCCCTCGGGCCACATCAGGGCCATGGTCTGAGGATGCCCAGCACAAGGGTGACACCCACGTCTGGGTCTGGGTCCAGGCTGGGCGTCTGACTACTCACAGCTTTGGGCCTCGGGTCAGAACTCCCATTCCTGGGCCAGAAAGACAGGATCCCCAGGTTTGTTGAGAATTGGAGGTGACAGTAGCACCCAGCCTGCCCCCAGCCCATGGGGCCATTGGTCCAGGTGAGGGCTGCGGGGACCTCTCCCAGCCCAGCCACTCACCCAGGACCTCCTTCTCGTGGACTTCCTTCAGCCTGTTGAGGGACTCCATGAAGCTCTCCATGGCTCCCTGAGGCCCCGGCCTGGGCCCGCGTGCTGGCTGTATCGTATGGGGAAAGGCCTTTGCCTCTACTGCCCTTCCGTGTCCATCCTGTAGGAGACGAGGTGGGAAAGGGTCAATTCAGGGAGGGCCTGGGGGTGAGGAGGTGGGTTCCTCATGTCTGCATGGGGGCAGAACCTGCACCATGCTGGAGGGCTGCTGTAGGGGAGGGGGCTGGAGGACCCAGAAACCCGTGGCAGGTGCAGAGTGTGCATGCAATTCCACTCGTGGAGCTGGATGGGCAGGGGTGCATCTGGGCATTAGCAGCAGCCCCTCTGAACTGCTCTGTCCTCCCTGAGGTACCCAGACCACCAGTGCCCAGTGCTGTCCCCATGTGAGCCTTGCCCTGTGGGACCTTACCAGAGGGATGGGGAAGCTGACTGTGGAGGGGACAGCACCTGCCAGCACAGAGCTGACAGTCAGACCTCACCAGCAAGATCAGCCCAGACCCAACCATCTGTGTCACCACCTCTGCCTTTGCCCCCACCCAGCATCACTGTCCATCCATCTGGGCCCCTCCTCTTCCTCATCACTGAGGCCCCACTCCGCTAACAGCCCTTCTCTCAGCTCTCTCCTGGGGCCTCTGTCCTCCTCCAACCCCACAGCCATCCTGCCAGGCAGACCTGATCCCTTCACACATGCACACACACACATGCACATTCATGTGCGCACAGCACACATGTACACAGCACACATGCACATGCACACAGCACACATGCATTAACACACACAAAGGCAGCATGCACATGCATACAGCACACACACACAGGCAGCATACACATGCATACAGCACACACACACAAAGACAGCATGCACATGCACACAGCACACACACACAAAGACCGCATGCACATGCACACACACATGCACAACACACACAGCATGCACATGCACACAGCACACGCATACACTCAAAGACAGCACGCTCATGCATACAGCACACAGACAGCATGCACATGCACACAGCACACACAAAGACAGCATGCACATGCACACAGCATGCACACATAGACAGACAATGTGCACATGCACACAGCACGGCACACACACAAAGACAGCATGCACATGCACATAGCACTCAGCACACACACACAAAGACAGCAAGCATATGCACAACACACAGAGCATGTGCATGCACACAGCATACACACACATGCACACACACGAAGACAGGCATATATGTGCACATGCACACATACAGCACATAAACACACAGACAGATGCATGGGCATGGACATATACTGATGCACAGACATTTGGACATATAAACTCACATGGGCATCGATACACACAGACACACATGCTGACAGAGATACATGCAGACATAGGACATGCACTTGCAGACACACAGAAACACACAGACACACCAGCTCCTATCTGCCCAAGGATACCAGCCGTTGTTCCTCAGGTGGAGGGTCCCATGGAGGGGCAGAAACCCCTCCGCACAGGGCAATTCTTGTGGTCCCACAGCCTGAGGCCAGAATTGAGGGGATGTAGGGCCCTTGCAGGCTGGGCCTGGGGGCTCTGGGCCTGAGCACACTCATCCTCAAATCCCCAAAGGCCTGGAGAGTTCCCGCAGGTGGCTGGGAGGAGGGGGGTTGTGCGGGAGTGGTGGCCTCCCTCTCCCCTCCCCTCCTCTTCCCAGACCTGGGAGGCCGGGCCACATGTCAGGAGCTGGCAGGCCTGGCAGTAGTGCCCATTACGTGCTCTGTGAGCCCACTGGCCAGTGCTTGTGACATTCAAACCCTTCACTGCCCACAGAGGCTGCTGGCTGCTGGGGGAGTGCACTGTGGGTTCCCATTCATTCTGTCAGGCTGAGCTCTGTCCCAGGTGGGGCGTGTGTGAATGTGTGTGTGCATGTGTGCATGTGTGTGCTGTGGGTGTGTGGGGGTGTCCAAGGCCTCAGTGCTCCTTCTCCTCGTGGCCCATCTGGGGTCTCAGCAAAGCCAGGATGTTAACTTGACACTGACTCACCCTGATGGAGGCCGAGCCAGGCCCTCCGTCTCCATCTCGGTCACCAGCTCTGTCATTCAGACGAGGGACCAGTGCCCTCAGCATTGGCTCCCTGAGTCTCACCCAGAGCAGAGCAGGGCCTGCCTAGAGTACAGGGTCCACAGCCCACACTGCCTCCCCCAGGGGAGGTGGCCCCTCCTGGTCATCAGTCCGGGGAGCCCTGGGGATTCACTGGACCCAGCAAAGCAATGGTTGAGCTCCTGGCCCTAGGGCTGGAGACAGTGGGGACTCCCCAGCTCTGCTCCTCCTGGCATCTCACACTGGCTGGTCAGCTGAGAGGACTGGCTGTCTTCTACATACACCAGGCTTTTGCCACCTCTCCATCCTCTGCCATGGCTTCCCACGCCCACTTATGCCCGCCTGCGCCCGAGCTGGTGCTGGACCACTGGAGCATCGCCTGGACACTGCATCAAGCTCCCCTTGCCTCCCCTCTGCCCCCCACCAGGATGCACTCTCTGCCCATCTGCCAAGCAGACATCCCCGAAACCTCATGGACTTTTCTGCTTAGAATCTGCCTGTGGGCCACAGCGCCACGCCTCACCATGTCTGGCCCAAGTGGGTTACAGAGGGGAAAGGACACAGTGATCTCGTATGCATTCTTGCACCTTTCTCTTGGTCCTGGGGGTCTCAGGAAGTAGGACTACACATAGCCTCTGCCGGGAGTCCCCCAGGGAGCAGGGCCACATGCAGCCCTGCCAAGAGAGTGCAGCGAGGTGTATTGCTCGAGGCATGCCTTGAGCTAGGGGCTGCCACCTAGGGAGGTGGGCAACCAGAAACCAGACACAAAGTTCTGGGGCTTAGTGCTGGCACTAAGCAACTTTATTGTCTTCTAAGCATGTGTTATATATATTTTAGCCAGCTGTAAGCCCCTCCCACACCTCCCCATCTCCTAGGCAACTCAATAGGAAGTCTGTGGTTTGCGGTTAAACTTTGCAAATTTTTTCTGATCCAGTCTATTTGCATTTCTGCTGACAGTCTAAATCCTGGAGAGCAAGAGTCCCTCCATCTTTAACAGGTGTTTTCCTTCATTTTCCTCCACATTTTCAAAGGGCAGAGCCTGAAGACAGCCCCACGAGGGTTTGCAGCAGCAGTCTGCAGAGTGGCCCCCTACGAGCCTCAAACCCATCACTGTATATCCCATGTGGGAGGGGTGGCTGCTACCTGCTGCAGTGCCCGCCATAGCCTGATGCCAGGTGGTGCGAGCCAGACACAGAGGGACACCAGGCGGGGCTCCTGGAAGTTGGGATGCTGGGTGCCCTTGGGGCCTGGGGGGGCAGCCCTGACTGAGGGAGGCAGGCCCTGTGACCCCAAGAGAAGCCATGGGCTGGGGCGAGGATGGTGGCTGGAGCGAGGACGGTGGCTGGAGCGAGGACGGTGGCTGGAGCTGTCTGGAAAGAGAATCTCACTACAAGCCCGGTTCTTGGCAGGGTCCTCCACTCGCAGCCCAGTGTCAGAGCACTGGGCAGAAGCTGTGACTTCCAGGTGCAAGGCTGGGCCTGGCAGGGGCAGCTGGGGAGCTGGAGTAGAGCATGGTCCTGTGTTCTGCAGTGGCCACAGGGGCCCACTGGGAAGGCCAGCTGGAGTGGAGTGGAGCACCAAGAAGGTGGGGCTCCTAAAACCTGTTTTGCAGACCAGCCTGCGCTCTGGGATCCCCCAAATGCCCGCCAAGGGAGTGGGGGCGACAGGTTGGTGGCTCTCTTTGGGTGAGTGAGGGCTCTGGGAATGAGAGGGACTTGGGAGGCTGGGGGCCAGAGCTCAGCCTGACGAGGGATGTCCCTTCAGGTTAAAGTGACAAACAAGATGCTGAGTTCCAGAGGCTGAGGGAGACCAGGCCTGAGCCAGGCTGCAGGTCATAAAGGATAATTCCAGCCTGTCCTTTTCACGATAGCCGACCTAACCCTGACTGCACCTCAAAGAGCCCACTCTCCAGATGGGGAAACTGAGACTCAAAGAAATCACATCACCTGCCTCAGTCACCAAGCGGGCAGTGGGAGCTGGGGATGAACTCCACTCTTGGGGCTGTGGATCCTGTGCATTCACTCTGTATGGACCAGGGACATTTTCCTGGTGGCCTGGTGTGCCTGGCTGTGCTGGCCTTATCTCGCCAAGGGGCCCTGGGAGGAAGGATGGCTGAGCTGGGGCCTCTGTGGGTGCAGGCTGCTGGCAGGTCTGGCTGGCGGAGGAAGACTGAGAAGGGATGGGAGGGGGCCAGGAAGGGGCTGAGCTGCAGCACCTGAAATTCCACCCAGACCCGCCCAACGGGCAGCTCTTCCCCGGCCCCCAACCACGGCTGGGCCGACGCCCTGTAAGGAGCCGCCCAGGGAGCCTGTGGTGCCTGTGGGCCTGGGGCTCTCTTTGGGTGAGTGAGGGCTCTGGGAATGAGAGGGACTTGGGAGGCTGGGGGCCAGATCTCAGCCTGATGAGGGATGTCCCTTCAGGTTAAAGTGACAAACAAGATGCTGAGTTCCAGAGGCTGAGGGAGACCAGGCCTGAGCCAGGGTGCAGGTCATAAAGGATAATTCCAGCCTGTCCTTTTCACGATAGCCGACCTAACCCTGACTGCACCTCAAAGAGCCCACTCTCCAGATGGGGAAACTGAGACTCAAAGAGATCACATCACCTGCCTCAGTCACCAAGTGGGCAGTGGGAGCTGGGGATGAACTCCACTCTTGGGGCTGTGGATCCTGTGCATTCACTCTGTATGGACCAGGGACATTTTCCTGGTGGCCTGCTATGCCTGGCTGTGCTGGCCTTATCTTGCCAAGGGGCCCTGGGAGGAAGGATGGCTGAGCTGGGGCCTCTGTGGGTGCAGGCTGCTGGCAGGTCTGGCTGGCAGAGGAAGACTGAGAAGGGCTGGGAGGGGGCCGGGAAGGGGCTGAGCTGCAGCACCTGAAATTCCACCCAGACCCGCCCAACGGGCAGCTCTTCCCCGGCCCCCAACACCTGCCATG